ACTTTATCATGCGAGAGTATAAAATGTTCGGTGACACCCGAACTTAGCCATTCCTTACTTGTTTTTTTATTTCTAAGAATTGCTTTTTATAAAAAGATATATCTTAACAATTTAAATGGATATAGTAACGATTGCAAAATTTCTTGAATATATTTTGTTTACTGAAAAAGTTAGTACTTAATTCTGCTCATTCAGTTTGAATGGCTGTAAAATGCTACAGTGGTCTGATATGAGCAGCGTTTTGTATAGAAAAGTATGCAAATTTTCAGATCGATGTCTCAAAAACTAAAGAATAGTTTGCGTATCGGATAGACAGATGGGCAGACGGACTTGGCTACTTATATACATATATTATCGATTCGCCGACATTTTCTTCTTGGTGTTTGAAATTTCTTGATAAACTTAAAATCTTCTCTTCAAACAAATAGGCTAGTTCTATAAGTTAGTAGTATATCATCATTAGAAACATTATAACATTGCATTTCAAATATGTAAAATCATTTGCCACTTAATATAGTTTAAAATTTTAAACAAATTTAATCTTTTAATAATTATATTTCTTCTTTATTGTCGTGGACACCGCTTGTGTAGTTACAGCCGAGTTATACTCTTGTTGTTTTATTCCAGCCATACTAATCGAAATCTTTTGGCACACTAAAACAATCTCTAGAAAGCAAAAGTGTAGCTTACCTGCAGTAAAATCGAGACCCCAACAATGCCTTGCGCTCGGTTCAAAGCGTCCGAGAAATTTGCATAAAGCTGTGAATTGTAGCCAAATATTTGGATCTGCAAGTACACAGCAAAAAACAACAAACAATTATGAATAAACGTAAAAAGAATCTAATTGTAGGAGTGTATGAGTTTACCAATAAATAAAATAATATATAAAGTATACATACACGGTTATATATTTACTATACTATACTTATGGTATAGTTGCGCAAACTCTTATCAAATGTGCCACAAATGTATATTTCCCGTCATACACACATTTATTTGTGCTTTCTGAAAATGCACACATTTATAAACCCACTTTATCTGAATTGCAAAGATATTGCTTTTTGTGGCGCTGGCGTAGTCTCGGTTAGTGGTATTTAAATAAATTCCTAGAATGCATGTGAGATAGTGCAAGTGTTGGCTTAATTTGCTTCAACACCAATTGCTAGGTTTTCATATGTATAACTGTTGGGCTTAGCTCCCAGTGGTAAGTGACATTTTTAATTTTTATTTACGTGAAAAATTACACTAATCATAATTGAGTGTAAAACTTTTATAACATTTGGTTAGAAAAAAAATTTTAATTTTCTTTTTATTTTATTGTATTAAAACCCGAAATATATTAGGTTGTCAAAAAAAGTCTTGCGGTATTTTCGCTAGTTGGCGCTGAGAGCGCGTAGTTCTAGTTTTATTCGTCGCATCGGGTCATGCTATA